GCGCCCTCGCGCGCGCTCCGGCTGATTGCAAAGGCGGAGCCGGACGGCGGCGGCGGGCCAAGCGTGGGGTGGGACAGGGTGGCGCGTGCCTACCCGTGCGGCCGCTTCCTCGCCGAAGGGGGCTTCAAGCGCGTCTTTCTCGTCTCTGACGCGCCCGACGGCCTCGAAGCCGACGGCGGCGCCTCCGGCCGCGACCGCTCCGGCCGCGGGCCGTTTGCGATGAGCGTCGTCGACGTGCGCTCGCTGCGGCGCAAGGGGCTCGAGGCGACGCTGGCCACGGAGCTGTCCGTGTCCCACCAGCTCGGCGAGCTCGCCCGCCGCGGAGTCTGCCCTCACTTTTTGCGGCTGCACCAGTGCTTCCGCTCGCCGTCGGAGCCGCCGGCGGAGGAGTGGATCGGCGGCGGGGGCGGCGGGAGCGAGAGCGAGAGCGACGGGGAGGGCGCGCCCGAGGCGAAGGGCGCGAGGCGGGCGCGGGCGCGCAAGCCGGCGCGAGCCACTACCCGGCGAGACGGCTCGTGCTTTCAGTATGTGGTGATGCAGTACGCCGCGGGCGGCGACATGGAGGAGGCGTGCAAGGTGCAGCCAGGCGGGTGTTGGGGCGTGGAGGAGCTGCCCCGCCTGGCGTTCCAGATGCTCTACGCGCTGCACGTCGCGCAGGCGAGGCTGCAGCTCCGCCTGCCCACCGCCCACACCGCCTCTCCTCCTCCCCCCTCCCCACCTCCCCCCCCCCTCCCCCCCTCCCCCTCTCCCTCCTCGCAGGCGAGGCTGCAGCTCCGCCACTACGATCTCAAGCTGCTCAACTTCTTCCTCGCGCACGCCCCCGACCACGCCAGCGGCGGCGGCGCGGGCCGGCTGCGCTACAGCGTCGCCGGGCAGCGTTTCGAGCTTCCGGCGCCAGACGGGCCGTCGCTCGTGATGCTTGCCGACCTCGGCACGGCGGACGTGTGCGCGGAGACGCTCGGCCGCCCCATCGGCGCGGCGCAGTTTGCGACGCTCGAAAACACGCCGCCCGAGTACCTCCTCTGCGGGTCCGACGCCCGCCAGGGGTACGCCGCCGACCTGTGGGCGATGGCGCTCTGCCTGCTGCACCTCATCACTGGCAAGGCGAGCCCTGCGCCCGCGCGCCTCCAACCGCGCCAAGCCTGCCAGCGCCCCCGCTCGCCACCGCCCCTCCGCCGCCCTCGGTTCGCGCCACCGCCCCTCCGCTGCCCCTCACACTCTCACCGCCGCTCCAGGCGCCGTACGAGGAGCTTCTCGCCTCCGTCCGCTGCCCGGCCGAGCTGCGCACAGCACTCGAGGCGGTCTGGCGCGGCGCGCCGGCAGCCGGCGGCGGCCGAGCTCGCTCCGCAAACTCGTCCGGCACCGCGTACGCCGTCGTCGCCGACCTGCTCGAGGATGATGAGGAGGGTGTGCTCTGCGACACCGCGTACCGCTACATCTGCCTCTTTGGCAGCAGCAGCCTCAGCGGCGGCAGCCTCTCGCTCGAGCAAGCGGCGGGCGGGCTGTCGGCGGCAGAGGCGCCGCCCGTGAGCGCCAGCGCTGCCTCGGCCGCCATCCGGCGGTGGCTCAGCTCCGCCGGCGGCAAGGCACGCTTTGTCAAGGACCACGCGCAGTGGTCTGTCTTTCACGGCCGCGCAAAGCCGCTCCTCGAGGGCCAGCGGCGAATGGCGCAGCTGCCCGGGGCGGCGGCGCTGCTGCGCGGGCTTGCCTCCTTCGAGCCCTCGCGGCGCTGGACCGTCGAGCAAGCACTCGAGAGCGATTTCTTTGGGCCGCTGCGCGTCGCGGGCGCGGGCGCCGACGGCGATTCGGCGCCCGTGTTCACGGCGTGAGGCGCACGGCGTCGGTGCCGCGAGCCGGGGCGCAGAGCGTTGTCTCGTCTTCCCTGTAGCCTGTTTGTTGTCCGCGGCGACCAGGGTATGGGTGTGTGCGACGAGTGGGGTTGTTGCACGAGTACATGGGCCACGATGTCTCACAAATATGAGGGGGTTTGAGTCCTGTTGCACGCCAGCCGTGATCTGCGGACAGGCTAGTGCCATTTCACTCTGACACGCTAATCTTGAAAACGTCTCCAACGGAGCTCCGTGTTGCTTCCAGCGCCCTCCCCCGCGCCCCCTGCGGCCATGGCCGATGCTCCTAGAAAGAGAGGTCATCTGGCTACCGCGAGAGCGACCCAACTCGTCGACATCGTCCGTTGATGGTGCCGCAAAGTCAGCCTTCGGACATCGGAGGCTATCGTGGGGTCGAGCCGGCAGTAGCCGTGACATGTGGTTCCACCACCCCTCGTAGGCTTTGCCTCTGACCGCCACCGTTCCCAGGCTGCCTAATTGGATGGAAAGGAAGGCTCCGCGAGCGTATAGAAGCGTGCTCGACCTCGTCGTGGCAACCTGTACGGCAGCGCTGGTAGGCGCGATGAGCGTCGTGCCACCTGACCCGAGACGGGTCGCAGGCGTCGTACCGAGCGCGTCGAGACCGTGTCCTGATGTGATCTGCACGGGTGAGTCACGTCGGCGTCAAAGGAGCGACGTGCGACCTGTCAGAGCTTGATCTCCGATCTCAGCGGCGTCGAGTCGTCTCCGGCGGTGACAATTTTGTCCCTCCCCAGGACGCACAGAGGCAGCTGCGACCCCGCCGAGTGGACGGGGGCACTCCGCGCCACCTGCCGAGTGCCCCGCAGGATTTTGGAAGGACGATCAGGGGGACAGGTGGGCTCTCCTGCTCCTGACAAGCGGCGGCCGCGATCCATAGTGCGTCGGCCAGACGTCGCGTATTTCGGTGTCGTGCCCGAGCCAAGTGGCGCGCCTGAGGGAGCTACAAATGTCTTGCGTATTACGAATCTGTCTTCTGCATCCACCTTCGGCCGATCGGGGTGTGCCTCTCAAGGCGCGCTACGCCCCACGTACTACGCACACGCATTCCGGATCGAGTGAGAAGTGGTGGCCGACGGGGGTTACGCCTCACGCATTACGCATACATTTTACGCATTCGCACGCCCAAGGTGTCGGAGAGGGCCTACGCACCACGTACTACGCACACGCATTCCGGATTCGAGTGAGAAGTGGTGGTTGACGGGGGTTACGCCTCACGTATTACGCATACGTTTTACGCATTCGCACGCCCAAGGTGTCGGAGAGGGCCTCCGCACCACGTACTACGCACACGCATTCCGGATTCGAGTGAGAAGTGGTGGCCGACGGGGGTTACGCCTCACGTATTACGCAGGCCATGGTGGAGGGGAGGGACGGGAGGACGAAAGAAGCGCGAGGAGGACGAGCGACCCGCACAGGCCGCGAGCAGACAGCGCCTGCTGGCCACCTCGAGACATTCGCAAAGAACGCTAGCTACATGGGAGGGCTTCGTGAAGGATGGATTGAAAAACATTCGAACAAAGAAAAGGCGACGGGAGGAACCGGCAGAGGATGCAGTGACGTGACAGACACACACACACACACACACACACACACACACACACACACACACACACACACACACACACACACACACTCACACACACACACACACCGCTCACCCACGCGCACCGGGCCTTGCACTTTAAATGCCGTGGGGCTCCTGTCGTTAGACGTGGAGACGCGAGGGTCGCCCCCCCTTGCCCCACCACCTCGTGTGTGTGGAGGAGTTTACCTTACCTTACCTTACGCATACGTATTACGCATTCGCACGCCCAAGGTGTCGGAGAGGGCCTCCGCACCACGTACTACGCACACGCATTCCGGATTCGAGTGAGAAGTGGTGGCTGACGGGGGTTACGCCTCACGCATTACGCATACATTTTACGCATTCGCACGCCCAAGGTGTCGGAGAGGGCCTCCGCACCACGTACTACGCACACGCATTCCGGATTCGAGTGAGAAGTGGTGGCTGACGGGGGTTACGCCTCACGTATTACGCATACGTATTACGCATTCGCACGCCCAAGGTGTCGGAGAGGGCCTCCGCACCACGTACTACGCACACGCATTCCGGATTCGAGTGAAAAGTGGCGGCCGACGGGGGTTACGCCTCACGCATTACGCATACATTTTACGCATTTGCACGCCCAAGGTGTCGGAGAGGGCTTACGCACCACGTATTACGCATACGTATTACGCATCCCCCCCCCAACCCCCTTTATGTGCGCGCACTGGCGCTGCCGCTAGGGCTGCCATAAGTTGGCTGGGGTTGTATGTGCGCTGGTAACAACAGACTTGGGCATAGCCCTCGACAGCCACCCCCTAACCCCCCTCCCCCCCCCCCCCCCTTATGTGCGCGCACTGGCGCTGCCGCTCGGGCTGCCATAAGTTGGCTAGGGTGTGTATGTGCGCTGGTAACAACAGACTCGGGCGCATAGCCCTCGACAGCCACCCCCTAATCCCCCACCCACCCCCCTTTATGTGCGCGCACTGGCGCTGCCGCTCGGGCTGCCATAAGTTGGCTAGGGTTGTATGTGCGCTGGTAACAACAGACTCGGGCATAGCCCTCGACAGCCACCCCCTAACCCCCCACCCACCCCCCTTTATGTGCGCGCACTCGTGCCTCTTGCGCTCAGGAGGGCCCTCGTACGAAAGTCCGCCCCTCGACCCTCGGGCCCATCTCTGGACGACCCGCCCGGCCCATCGGCGCCTCCGCACGCCGAATCGTAGGTCGACAGGCGCCCCGTCCATGCCGGACCTGAGGGTAGAAGCCGCCGCTCCCAGAGCATGAGCATCCCTGAGCCCCAGCATTGGCATAATGGTAGACCCGATCACCTCGGTGGGCAGATTCTCGAGTCCAACCGGCGGGCTAGGGGGCGCCCCCTCCAGTGACCTCCGCGGGTGCGTGGTGACGGCGATGTGGAGTCGTTCATCGGTGACACGTTCGGCGGCGGTACCAGTGGCGTCAGCCAGACTTGAGGCACTTTAGACTCTTTCGATCACGATTCACGTTGGAGGAGAACTTTTGGAGGGATAGCTCCGCAAAGCCGCCGCGCAGCGCCTGCAGCCGAGATGCAGCCGAGATGCAGCGCAGCTGCGGCCGAAGTACTTGCTCTCTCTCTCCCCCCCCCCCCTCTCAATACGACAATAGTTATTAAGTCAGTTATCGGGCCAAATGTGCACGTTGATACACGTAGCAGAGATACGTAGACGCTTGGAGAGAGGCAGAGCGGAGACGGAAAAATCGTGCAAGTGAGACAGAGACAGTAGTCGCTCACCAAAAATCCCCGCACTGTGTGCTGCTGCTGGCACTGCGCACACACTCTCTGAGTTTGTTTTTGTTTTTGATGTCATGTTACATGACATGGACATGGACATGGACATGGACTTCTTACACAAATCATCATTTCACATTTGCGCCGGCGTGCGGCAGAGCTCTGAGCTGACGCTTCGACCCCCCCATCCCTCAACCAACAACCCTGCGTTTTGCCCAGTGTTACGTGTTGCGCCGCTCCTTCTTCAGGAGTTTTGCCTTCAGCCTCGACCTGCCGCTTACCTGAGCCGCCTCAGCCGCCTCAGCCGCCTCAGCCGCCTCAGCCGCCTCAGCCGCCTCAAGCTCAACCGCTTCCGCTGCCTCGAGCGCGTCTAGTCTAGCTTCGAGTGTCTGCGGATTGAGGCTGTTGGGCAGCGTGACCTCCCGGCGCGGCAAAAAGCGTGAACGTGGCCCTTCGAGTGTCAGGTCCGGCAGGGCCGAGCAGCCCTCGAAGGCGCTGGGCGTGCTCGTGAGGTGGGCGGGCAGCGTGATCTTGCGCAGGGAGAAGCAGCCGTCGAAGACGCTGTAGCCGATGCTCGTGAGGCTGTCTGGCAGCGTGATCGTGCGCAGGGACGCGCAGCTGATGAAGGCGTAGTCGCCGATGCTCGTGAGGCTGTCTGGCAGCGTGATCTCGAGCAGGGACGAGCAGCCGTAGAAGGCGTAGTCGCCGATGCTCGTGAGGCTGTCGGGCAGCGTGATCTCGCGCAGGGACGAGCAGCCGTAGAAGGCGTAGTCGCCGATGCTCGTGAGGCTGTCGGGCAGCGTGATCTCGCGCAGGGCCGAGCAGCCGTCGAAGGCGCGGTTGCTGATGCTCGTGAGGCCGTCGGGCAGCGTGATCTCGCGCAGGGACGAGCAGCCGTAGAAGGCGTAGTCGCCGATGCTCGTGAGGCTGTCGGGCAGCGTGATCTCGCGCAGGGACGAGCAGCCGTAGAAGGCGTAGTCGCCGATGCTCGTGAGGCTGTCGGGCAGCGTGATCTCGCGCAGGGACGAGCCGTAGAAGGCGTAGTCGCCGATGCTCGTGAGGCTGTCTGGCAGCGTGATCGTGCGCAGGGACGCGCAGCTGATGAAGGCGTAGTCGCCGATGCTCGTGAGGCTGTCGGGCAGCGTGATCTCGCGCAGGGCCGAGCAGCCGTCGAAGGCGCGGTTGCTGATGCTCGTGAGGCCGTCGGGCAGCGTGATCTCGCGCAGGGACGAGCAGCCGTAGAAGGCGTAGTCGCCGATGCTCGTGAGGCTGTCGGGCAGCGTGATCTCGCGCAGGGACGAGCAGCCGCAGAAGGCGTAGTCGCCGATGCTCGTGAGGCTGTCGGGCAGCGTGATCTCGCGCAGGGACGAGCAGCCGTAGAAGGCGTCCGCTCCGATGCTCGTGAGGCTGTTGGGCAGCTTGATCTCGAGCAGGGACGAGCAGCCGGAGAAGGCGCGATCGCCGATGCTCGTGAGGCTGGCGGGCAGCTCGATTGACGCCAGCGTGGAGTTGTTTCTGAAGGCTCCACGGGGAACGAGGGCCTTGCCGTAGCGAGCCGCGTGCACAGCGAGCAGCATCTCGGCAGGTAGCTCGCCCTGCACCTGGTGAGCGTCCGCGAAGCTGCGTCCGGCGTCCAGGTACTCGCGGAAGGGCACATCACTATTACGCAAGGCGGCCGCATCCACCTCGAAGCCGTGCGCGTGCATGCGCGCCAGGTTAGGGAACCCCATCGCCGCGATCACTTGCGCCAGACCAAGCCCATCCGCCTTCAGGAAGGGCTCAATGCGAATGTCGGTCACCTCGGTATCGCTACTGGGCACCGGCTGGCCTTCGTCGCGACGGCACAGGCGTGCCCAGAGCTCTCGCCGTGCCGTGCTCGCCAGTACCGGCTCACACCCTTGAGCTTGTGCAGCAGGGCGGGATAGTCGGATAAGTCGCCGACGCTCTTGAGGATGCAGAGGTGTAGCTCCGGCGGCAGCTCGCCCAGCATGTTGAGCTTATGGAGTTGGGTACGTAGCAAGCTCGTACCCCTGGGCTTGCGAAAAGAATTTTACACACAACACGACTGTTGTTCATCAATCTCGTGCCGCCGCCCCTGCCACCCCTGTGTCAGTGTGCCTGTGGTAGGAGAGACTGCCAGCGACAAGCTGGAGGCAGGTCGCTAGACTGAGATGAGACCGCCAGTGGATGTGGGAGTCCACCGCGCACCGCGCTGCGAGCCTGTCGTGTCCCTTGTCAGGAGCAGGAGAGCCCCACCTGTCCCCCTGATCGTTCTTCCAAAATCCTGCTCGTGCAGGTGGGGACCCTGTCCTCGTCCCATCCCTCGTTTGGCGTGTCTGTTTTCTTTCTTTCTTTCTTTTCATCAATCAAGAAACATAATGCGTATACGTAGTACGTCAGCGCCTCCAGGCTGTGGCGCCAGGAGGGGGTACGTATGCGGATACATGATACGTCATGCGTAACGCGGTCGTCGATGGGCCTGAATTGGTAAAATTATGCTGCGTAAGTGCGGGGCAGGGCCAACATTGAAGTATTCTGTGCTGTTTTCGAAGGAAAATATGCGCTGTGAGCAGGTCCGGGGTGAGGGCCGGCCTTTATATCTGCTGTATTTTGATAACTGCGCCTGTCTACGCACCAGGTTACGCACCCGAAACCAAAGCATAAGGCGATGCGTATTCATTTTGTGGGTTGGGCATATCCATAGCGGGACCGCCCACGATTGCACCGACGAGCGCGTTGGACTTTTCACTCCGGACAAAAAACGCGGCACAGCGGACGGTGCGGGGCGTGCCGCAAACTTAGCGGCGAGGCGCGGGACCGTCTGTTGCGAAGTGGGTCGCGTCCCCCGATTTCCGTCAACCCAGCATCCACACCCTTTAATTAATATGCATCTAAGATGCACGAATCTTCTTGGACTGCACACTGTCTTGCCTACGGCTTTATGCTCGAGCATCTCTAGATGGCTGTATGTCCCAATCGACACGTGGCCGGGCGACGTACTCGGTGAAACGCGTGACGGTGTCGGACATTGCAAAAAGGGCTAGAGCCGCGTAAGCCATAAGCAGAATAATTAATATATGGAAGCCCCATAAGGCAACAAACAGGTCCTCCTGGTCGCGCTCAGGTGGACGACTCGGACCCGTCGTAAGCCGCTGCGCGCGCCGCCCGTGAGTTAGAGCGGGGAGGCGGCCTCCGGCCCGGCGCGCTTCCAACAGAGCCGCCGGAGCCGTTCCGCCGCATCGTCTTGCCGGGGGGCCTGGTGACGGGCGGGGCCCTGCCGCCCTCCCTCTCTTGGAAGACTCCTGGCGTGGTGCGAGACCTTGATGTCGGGGTCTCGGGCCCCGACCCCGAGCAATTCCCGTCCGCGCCGTCCGGCTCGTACCTGAAGGTGCACACGAGGTGGTTGGGCAGAAGGGGGGGGGGGGGGATTGCGTCTGCTCGTACCCGTCGAGTGTGCCCAGCTGGCCCGCCGCCCACCGCCGGCTGGCCGAGTTCGGTCCAGCCTGGTGATAGCCTGCGGCGCGGCGACCCCAGTCGTCGGAGGCGCCGCCGGAGCCGTTGGAACCGCGGCCAGAACCTACGTGGGGAGATGTGGGGAGATGTGGGGAGATGTGGGGGAGATGTGGGGGAGATCTGGGGAGATCTGGGGGAGATCTGGGGGTCAAATAGACGAACGTCGGGAAGCCTACGCGCTGAGTGCGCCAACCCCCGGGGGGCGGGAAGGCGGTCATGTGCGGCGTCTTCAGCGCACAC